CATTACATCCTGCAGAGCACTAACCTTAGAGCACTTCTCACCCTTTCCCCCATTTTATCATAGTAGGAAACGTCAAGTACGTAAAACTTAATACGATATCAGAACGTCACATCAAACTCCCAATAATGTCTGTCCGTCACAATTAGCGGAGACGGCACACATTCTACCCTTCCTCTCTCCTCTCCCTGACCATCTTATAGTCGGGGAGCGTGCTCTTTTATCGTGGTCGAGAAATACTTGTAAATCGCAGGGGAGGAGGTTGGAGATGGTGACGGGAGGGAGAGATTGTCCGAGTCTTTCGCTGTTTGTGAGCATTTGGGAGAGAGGTGTGTTATTTTCAGAGGGATCCTGTGTGGAAGCTTCTCGCTCTGGACCACTCACAACAGATCTGGAAGTGTACTATAGCTCCTCGGAATGGACAAAGAATCCTTAACTAAGAGAAAAACGTTTGTGTGGAAAGCAGAGTAGAAGAACCTGAACACAAGAGGTGGAAAGGCACCAATCATGGGCGATACAAGAAACACCTTATTTTTGGTCTTCTGACCTGAATGGTGTGCCTTCTTCCTCCCCAATCTTCTCACAGGTGCGGACGTGGCTGGTTGGAGTCTGCCCGCTGGCGTGTCTCCAGACGAGGTTCTTCCCGGAGTACTGGGTACCCCAGCCGTGGGGTCTGACTCGTATACCCCACTCCACCAGGTGGAGTGGAACTGCCATGTACCCTCTGGCTGGCAGCACTGGAGATCCACCGTCTCACACCTGCACGCAGTATAATGTTTAACGCAAGACGTATTACTAGTTTTAACATAGTGACAAGTTGATAAGGGGGTTACTTCCGAGATGTAAGTATTAGTGCAAAATTCCATTATAATTGTAAGTTGCCAAATTTAGGCAGGGTTTGCAGTTTTGGTTAAAATAATTATTTCACATACATAACAATTGGGCAACAATTATTTTTTACCTAGAGAGATTTCCTGACCTGCTGGCAGCAATATCGCTATGGATGAGGAGAGAGAAGAGGTGAAGGGTCTCTCTAGTCTAACATCGAGAGTGAGCTCTGTGGTGTTGTGGAGGACGAGGGAGGAACGGACATTGATGATCTTGCAAGTGTCGCTCAGAGAGATGGCAAAGACCAGCCAGCGAGGAGGGTGTGGGGAGAACTTGGTTTCGTGGCTTGGTCGCACCTTATGGGGCAGAGGAATAGTAGTGAAAGCAGGAGAGATAGAGAGAGACAGAATTAATGTAAGCAAAACCAGGAGATACAAGGTAAAGGTAAAGTAAAGAAAGAAGGAAGAAAGGGAGAGAGAAATGATTGATCATCACGACAACTATATACCTCTTCCATACCCCTCTCTTTACATACAGACCTCTCTAAAGAAGACTCCAATCTTGTCCACTGAGACTGGAATGTCAATCTGGCTCCACCCCTCAACCCTCACTAGGAGCTGGTGAACAATCAGCGATCTCGTGTCCTGGTGGCGACGTTTGGAGTGGGCTGAGAAGTCAAATGCTTGCTCCGCCCTCCGGGCTCCACCCACATCCACTGAATTGCCCCGCCCACTCCTCTAGCCACACCCACTGACGGTGTGCTCTGGTAGGCTGACAATGGACTCACATAAACCTTGGGGAGTAGACATTGTTGAAAAATCAGTGACAACCATGGTAGTCAGTTGGAAAAGAAGACCCCTCCCTCTCTCTCATCCCTCACCTGAGAGGGAACTGAAGTGAGGGTAGCAAACTGAAGACAAAGGCCTGTGCTGTTTCGCAGAAGAAACGGGATGAACTTTGACCTCTGTCGAGTCTCGCTAACGAGCCTCACAGAGTGCAGAAGAGCTAGACCTCTCTCCATCTGAGATGACATCATTGGGTCGTGTGACTGATCATGTGATCTTCCACTTCCCGTCCTCCTGCATGCATCAACACAACAATAAATTACGACTGAGATATTGACTTCTCAATTCTGAAAAATTAGCAGTCAACTTGAAGCCAGCTTAGGTACATGGTCGAAGCTGGCATAATGTCATGCTTTGTGTATATAAAATCCTGACTCATCACCTGTGAGATTTGATTCTCACATCCTCCAATTGAGTGCCTCCTCCCTCCTCCCTCAGTCTCCTCCGGAGATCCTGTCTCCAACTGGACTGAGTCACGTTCAGTAACTGTATGAGGGAGCTGGTTATGTTGACACACAGTCGCTCACTGGCTGCAGAAACAGTGGAAGAGTTAAATCGATTTGGATCAGGATTTTTTAGCTTCTCACAGATTAGTCTGAGGCACATGCGGTCTTGAGTTCCTACTGTCCAGGTCAGTGCTGTATTGCGCAATCTTCTCCCAAATCAGCCTCAATCTAACAAACAAAACGGGAGATATTCGCAACAAAAGAGCTAATGTCGCTATGCCTATGATTGAATGTACAGCTTTTAAGGTAGAAGAGAAAGGTGGCAGAGATGCTACAAGTGGGTTTAGTCAGGTCTCATTCCCATACTTCCATGGCTCCAGGACAGGTTCCCAGGCTGAGATGTGTCTGTTGTAATAGTCTCCAGCGACGATGGCTTTGGCCTCACCTCTCCTTCTCCAGGGATCGTGGACTCCCTGTATACATAACATTCATCTCTCACTTGTATATCTATCAGCTTTTGATGACGTAATGTTTCAAGGACTGTCCCATAATTATACCCACAAATGCCATACATTGTTATGCTATTAATTTTGTGCATACAAATATAGAGTTCTAACGAACTGTAGTATGAAATACGAGTTCTAAATGATTTGTAGTCGTCCATTTCCAAAATCAGCAACATATACAGCTCCAGCTATATCCACTGCGATGCCAAACGGATTGCGAAATTGCCCCGCCTCCTGACCACACCCCTTTCCCACCGACCTAACGAACCGACCGTCAGAAGAGAATTCCTCCACTGAATTCTTCCCGACGTCACTGACAAAGACACGCCCACTGGTGTCCAAAGCCACACCCACCGGCTCACGAAGCCCCACCTCCAAATTAACACCACCTTCAGTACTATTGCCAGCAAACATCCTCAAATGCTTGCCAGTTTCAGAGAAAACCTGAATTCTGCAGTTCCCTCTCTCTGAAACGTAAACTTTTCCATCTTCATCGAAACCTACTCCGTAAGGCCTGGATAGCTCCCCTTGCTCGCTGCCACTTCGCCCAAACCTCGCTGAATACGTAAGATCACTGTTCAAGATCTGAACCCGATTGTTTCTGAACTCCGTCACGTAAATCTTCCCCGTTTTAGGGTGGACCCCTACACCGACAGGCTCGTTGAACTGAAGGGCTTTCTTTCCCTTGGAGCCCACTGATTTCAACGGAGTTCCCTCGGGAGAGAGAAGCAGAAGTCGATGATTGTTGCAGTCGCACACCAGAAGGTCCCCGGTAGGAGTTATAGCCACTGCGCATGGCGTGTCGAATTGACACGGACCATTTCCTCGCCCACCAAACGACCTCAGTTTGTCCCCACTCCCAACGTCAAACACTGACACACAATGGCCGGAACTCTCCGAAACGTACACTTCTCTTCGACTAGAGTTAACAGCCACACCCCACGGCTGTCTCAGCCCCGAGACAAGTAGAATCGACTGCACTTCAAACGGACTGCCAGCTATTTCAGCTCCATTCACTCGAATATGAAGCTTGAATAACCCTCTTTGGGTCGTGTTGAACCTGATGTCGTATGGCGTATCTTCGTTTCTTTCCCCAACCCCAGATGCGAATTTGAGAGTTGGGTTTTCGGCTGAAACAAGTTCAAAGGTTATGTCAACTTTTCGGAGGTACTCCCTGTTCTCCTGGTCCACTACATGGACTCTGACCACTGCAGGTTCCCCCACCACTGAAATTTCGGTCCCCGAGCCCTCCGCCCGACATTTCTCCGGGCAGATTATCGACTTGTACTCCGTAATCTGTCCGAAATTACGCAACTGTTCCGCTAGTTCCGTAGCTCCGTCCGCGCTGAAGTCCTGATCCGCTTCTTCGCAGGGCTCGAAGATTTCAGGATTACCCAGTGCTGCAGTGATATCTCTAGCCTGTTGGCATATAGTGGTGCTCATAGACAGCACCTCCATCTCGCTCCCCGTCTCTACCATGTTCTGAACGTACTCGTAATAGGCCCTGAGTCGGCTGTAGACTTCTACGGTACGGCGACGCTGTTCCCGCATGTTACGTAGCTTTCTCTCCGTCTCTTCGTCTATCTGGGCATAGAGCTGTTTCCTCCGCTCTTCCAACGCCTCTCGGATCCGCTGGGCCTCTTCGTTTACCTCGCGCGTTACCGCCTCCTGCTGGCGTACGAGAAACTCTCTCTCCGCGCGGAGTTTGTCAAGAGCGGCGTTCGTCGCGGCGAGCTGGTCGTAAACTGGTTGAACCTTAGCCAAGAGCTCGTCCCGATGTTTCGGGAACACCGCAGATACTTTGGCGCACTCGTGGGAGCCGTGCGCCCCGCCCTGGGCTGCACACTCCTGACACACGACCTCCTCGCAAGACTCGCAAAACATGTCGGAGTGGTTGTCGGGGTGGACGGAGCACGGTAGAAACTTCTCCACGATCTGAGGGTCTCCTTCGTCTTCCTCGCTTGGAGTAGTAGCCGAAGGAATTGTCGTTACAATGGACGGTAACTCCGCCATCCTCTCTCTCACTCCCCCCCAATGGATCTGAGTCGAGTGCGCGTTCGATCGTACAAGCTCCACCCCTAAAAACAGTGCGCATGCGCTAACGCGTAACTTGCCGTGCGCGCGACGTACGTATCACGCACACAATGCCGCAATGCGTATATACCTGGACGTGGGAAAAGGAGAGTTCTAGGAGAGGAACGTCTCTGTTGGCGCTGTCATCAATCAGACATACACTCACACTCCGTATGGACAGCTGAAACAAGACAAAAATTTGTTGAATCAATCCTAAAAAAATATACCTACCTCAATTTTTCCAACAGTAAATTTCATCCCAGTTGCAGTGTCTACTTCTTCAACCTTTCCTCCAGTACCCTGCCCCTCCTCCACCCCTTCTTCCCTCACTGCTGGGTCTCCCTCACTACTACTGTGGTTGTTGGAGTTGAGGAAGAGCTGGTGGCGTATTTCTGACTTGGTGTAGCCCAGTGGAAGCATCTGCTTCACTAGGGCATCTGGTGGGGGGACAAGGTCAGAGAGCAAAAAATTCAAAATGAAGAGAAAAGTTTTTAATGGGTGCCAAAAGAGAATATCAATGGAGAAACTTTTGAAAAAGAAGTAATAAAAAACAGTAGAGCAGCAGATTGAAGTTATGAAAAGGGGAAAAGGAAAAAGGTAAAGCAGCAGAATACGAGCAGTTATGATAAAACTAAAACAGATGTGCCAGATTCTTCGTGGAAAGTGCAGAGAGGTGTAGTAGCACCAGTTGTACATACTCAGTTCCAGTGATCAGCTTACTGTTGACTTTGTTCCCTGAGGGAGTCGGGGGAGCAGAAGGGGTGGAGGTGAGGGGAGGCAGGGACTGAGCTATGGCCAGGAACAACTTCAGATCATTGTACGACAGTCGGACATTCAGCTGCTTGAACTCAACCTTTAGGAAATAGAGAAACACTCAACCACTGAGGTTATAGCTAAAATTCTACGAAATGGCATCATTTGGTAGCCTAGCCAACAGACCCTCTCTCTGGTTCGCGCATGCCTCACTGCAAGTGCTTGCGCATGCGCGGGCCGGAGAGAGAAGGTCTAGAGGCTAGAGTAATCTTAAGCCCATACTTGCAAGAAGTTTCTAGAAGTATTTGTACCTCAAATGGCTGCATTGTTCCTTCTCCAACCTCATCTTCACTCTTTGCCGACCCCCTGGAACTAAATTTCCTCTCACCTTTCGCCCCGGGGGGCACCCTCTCATTAGGGGGTTTGATTTCCATCGTTATGGTGACTGGATCAAGAATGGAGAGTGCTGACTCATCCTCGTTGTCAAGGTTACAGGAGAAAAGCTCGAGACCATCGATGGAGGTGTAGAGTGTTTTGTGGGCATTGGTAAAGACTGGAACTTTAGAATCAACGTGCCCTGCCAGAGAAAAGAGAGGTACATATAGCTTTAACACACAAGCCTTACCCTATTTTAGTTGGCCAAGTACGTGGAACATTATGTCTCTATTCTCATGAATGGTAAAGACCTTGACCAGGGTTCTAAGGCTAGAATTGTAGTTGTTGAGAAGCTACTATATACACATTAATACAACAGCACCAATTACTCATGCAGCTAGTAAATAACATTCACAGGCTAATACAAACTTTGGAGTTTTACTTATCAACAGACCTTGAGGACCACTGCATTTGAAGAAAAGGAAGAAAGATCTTCCACTACAACAATGTCAGTCTCGGTGATGCTCAGTCGAACTCTGACCTCTCGTGGCGGCTTGTCTTCTGTGGGTGGAGCCACAGGGAGGAGGTCGTTCCCATGGTTTCAGCTGGGAGTCCAGTTTTCCCGGTCTTAGAGATGGCTCGGGAGTAAAATCCACTTCATCCACATCTGTACAAATGATTAATATAACCTCTAAGTTGTAAAAACCTCCACACCTCAAACAATCTCAAACTCCTTTTTTTACAAAGAAGTAATGTGTTTGCTGCACTTACTGGCTGACAACACCTGCAAAAGTCATTAAAGGATTCACAAATGCATTTTATTTTTGTTGAGAAGCCATAATATTAGACAACTAACATTAAGGCACCTCAACAAAAATGAAATATACAATGGGTTTTTCAAAGCTGATTTTTATTAAAAGATTCACTGATGAATTTATTTGTTGATATATTATATTAGTTACCCATCTCCAGTTTTTCAGGGATACTGTCAAAGACAAAGGACTTGAGAGAAAGCAGAAGATCAAAGAGACCGATGAGTCGCAGTTTATTCAGGAGAATTGTGGCTCCGATGCGGGCGGGGCTGACTGTCACATGGATCTGGATCTGCGACAAGAGGAGATGAAATGATTGAGTGAAAGACAAAAAGAGAAGAAAGGAGAAAATAATTTTCAACCTGGATGGGTCTATTGTCAGTTGTCTTGAAACGAGGTCTCAAAACTTCAGAGAAGACACTTGGTTTTGAGTCATCATCATAACCTGTGAGTCAAGAAATTCTTATCTCCTCATTACTCATTCTGACATCAGAATTAAAAGTCCTAGGACTTACGATCATATTTATATGTGTATGCCTAGTAAAATGATATTGTTTTCTTCTCTCCATCTCACCACTGTATCTGGTATCATAGCCAATGACAGCGTGATTGGTGAAGTCCACGGTCCGTGTCTGGTCCGAGCGACTGCAGAACGAGAACTGGGAGTCCTGGATGTCAAACAGGGCCAGAGACACCTCCAGAGACCCGGGGACCTCGCTCTGTCTCTGCTGCAGGAACTCCAGCTGGACTCCCAGGAACTTGATGCGAAACAGGAACCCAGTCCACACGTCTGCTGCCACTGGCTGTGGGGGAGGTGTGTGTTTGAGGCCATGTGATACGTTTTTGGCATAGAATAGTATCCGTGCAAGAATACCACCACTCACAGGTGCAATGGGGTCTCTGATAACAGTGGAAGGTTTCTCAAAGTCTTCAATGGTCTCTCCTAGGTTCATGGCCAGCAGTCCCTTCACCAGCTCCAACTGTGTCTTGTCTAGCATCACATGGATGGCTGACAGCGTCCCCTCTATATGCAGGTCTGGGACTGTGGTGCAATGACAGAGAGAAAGCTGAGACGTTTACGCATTTTTGGTGACTTCTTGTAGTCTTGTTAAAAAACCTCTAATGACCACATATTTATTGCTAAGAATAGATATTAGGATGTGCATATGGCATATTCACAATGGTAGATAGGTATGTAAAAAGAATCATTAATTACGGACTATGTGATGACAGACTACCGAAATATTTCACTCACCGTCTCTGCAGAAGTCTTCGAAGAGATTCCTCTCAATGTACAGTGTCAGTTCTCCCTTCTCCTTCAGCACCTTACCCCTCTATGGACATGTATAAAAATGCCTTATATCATTGCTTCAAACATAGCTTCGTTTCCAGGCTTTCCTATACTCTATGAAGCTTGATTTGATTTTATGTGTCATGCAACATTCACATGACCTACAGCAACTAAACGCCAAGTGAGATCAGACCTGGCGAACAATCTTAAACTTGTCTCCATCCAGAGGAACCTTGAGAGCTGAGAACACGTCAACTTCAGTCAACTCCAACTTTATACAGTCCAGTAGACATGGACCACTGCGAGACTGCAGGGAGGAAAAAAGAAGAAGAGTGTGAGACAGAGCAATAGAGAAAGGGAACAGATATAGAAAAGTGTGAACAAGGGACAAAATCCAACTTCATAACCATACTTTTAAGTCTTTGCCTTCTTCTACATAAATCACTGATGATGCCAGTAATCTATACTTGTATTAGTCATACACGCAGTTAGTATAATTTTTTCAGATGGTCTCTACAAACTAACATACACCTGGGTTAATAGTACCTTGAGTCTCATCTCCACTCGCTGTCTGTCTTCTTCAGTGTCAGACATGTCGGTGGGTGGAGCCTGCGAGAATAGGCCACTCCTCTCAGATATGGGTGTGGTCAGTTGGTCGTAGTCTGATCCAGAGTCGACGTTCATGTGAGTCAGTGTCCCCTCATCACCATCATACCTTTAGACATAATATAGTGTAAAATTGAGTAAGCTGTATACTGAAGAAGTGGAACATCAGGCTTACCTAGTGGAATTTGTGACTTTGATGTGACCAAAATCTCCAACCATAATTTCAGAGGAGAAGGCATGTTTGGGGATCAGAAGGATTGGTCCTGTCAGGTCCACGTCAAGGCTGATTCTAGCTTTGCGATCTGGACCATCGTATTCCTGGGTGGTGGAGGAGAGACAAGACAAGCAAGGGGGAGCAAGTGATCAGAACATGCAATTATCTTTACACCCCTACCCCTATGGAAATACACACTGAACTCCCCTCCCCTTCCAGTATCATCTCGCTGTCTCTCACTGTTCCAATACAAAATCAGTGAGGCCAATGAAAGCCCCTACAGGCCTACTGAAAATGGAGATTGTACCAATTCCTGCATATTCCCAACCTTTTCCCACAAGAATTATTTCCATCTTGCAGCTAGTACACTATATAAGTCTAACCAGGTTTCCCTGTGCCATGGCCTTCATTCTCTGGAAGGCATCGATGAGTTGAGGGAAATGGGAGCAGAAGGCCAGCACTTCCTTCAGAAACCTCATGGTGTGGAGATATCTGACTGATGCCAGGTCCAGTCGGGCACTTATGTCAAACGGTCTGTCCATGTCCGGATCCGGTCGCCCAAACTTGAAAATTTCAAACGTGAGTGCTGGATCTCCAGTGGTGGTGAACCTATGGACAAGACGCGAAAAGAGATAAATTCAGCTAAAATTTACACTTGAGACTATTCATCAACCATCTTGTTAAGTCAAACTTTCATTGCTCTGCTAAGTTAAAAACTGCGTACTAGCAAAATGGAAAATTCTAAACTGCCATGGGTTCTCTTGCATCAGTAAACAAAAGAATGACTCCTTACCTCTCTCTATAGTAATCTCCAGTCTCGGTCAAATCCACCACCGACGCCTGCCCCAGTTTCCCACTCAACTGAAGATTTCCGCGACGAGTCTCAACTCTAGCGACCAACTCACTCACCACCCCCTGTGCCAGTGGGTGCTCTGGCTTGTTGAAGGTCACAGTCAGTGACCTCACCTTCAGAGATAAGTCCACACTTCCCTTACCCTCGACCCCCCACACCTCACTCCTACACTCATCCCCCTTCTCATCGTCACCCTCCTCACACCCACTCTGTAGAGATTCCGCGCCACTGAGTTTCTCAGAATGAAGTGAAGGAAGTTTTAGGGATTTGGCTGGATCCGTGGTTATTCTCTTGTCAGTTATAGAAAGGGGCGTATGACAATCGCTTGCTACATCAGTGACGGAAGATAGTTTGGTGGAATTGGAATCGATAGTTGCTTTTTCATTTGAGTGATGAAGGCTTAGAGATCCATGAGAGCTAGTTTGATACATTGACTTCAGGGGGTTTGAAATTTCTTGTGAAATTTTTGAAGTATATTTCAGAGAACTAACAGAAGTGGCAGTCTTTGAAAACTGTGTATCAGAGGAGATGGAGTGGTGAGGATTGAGGCCCAGAGAACTTGAGAAGATACTAGTAGGGAAGGAGTCTGTTGGAGAGAGAGGAGAGGGATATAGGAAGTGAGGGGTAGTGGTGGCAAGTTCGGGGTGAGATGGACTGGGTGGAGATATGAGACCAAGAGAATCAGTAGGACCCAGTGAATCATTCTCTGGACTGGTGTATTCATCATCATCTTCCTCAAGGAGTAGAGAGGAAGGAGAGGGAGAGGGTGGAGGGGTGGGAATCCCTATTCCAAGGTAGTCAAGGAGCAATACCCAGGTCTGAAGATTGATGATGACTGAGGCTGAGCTAAACTCAACATCTATATGACCTCCAACCTGTGGTATTATTGCACACACATAAACAAAATAATTTGGCTAATACTTCCCTTAAACTGATTGGAAGCCAAGACCTACAAAAGTATTATCTGGCACTTCCGAAATTGATTGCCGAATCGTAATCGTGCACAGTTCATTGGTGACAAAAAAGACTCTTTCTGGGTACACAATCTGCTTGTTTGCACCCATTTCACATGCATTACAACAGTATATCTGATTAACTCACCGAGTTGAACCTGCTGGTAAACTGAGGGTGTTCTTTGTCAATAAACATTGCCCTGATTGACAGGAGCCCCACCACGTCACCGCTGATGTTGCTACGGAGACTGTTTCCATGGCTACTTCCCTCAGGTCTCAGTGTACTCCCGGTCACCTCACATTCCTCACTCCCACCAGCAAAAGTTGGTTCAGAACTTGACATCTTCAGTGCTTGAATCCGATTTGCATGAAATCGGGTCTTTGGTGTAGCAAAACTAGTTTCCGATCTGCTTGATCCAGTCTCCTCCCGCTTCACACTCTCACTTGTGTCTGGTTTCAAACGAGTTTGACTCGTTTCACCCCTGTCGTTGTGCGGGGTAAACGACCTCAATGGGGAGTCAGAGTCCAACAAAGGTGCCACGCGAGGTGTGGAGGACATGAGGTGGGAGAGGGGGAGGAGAGAGTGTGACAGCGGTGACGGAGATAAAGACAGTCTCTGGAGTCCAAAAGATGATGTCGTCCTCAGTGGTGTTATCCCAGAGAAAGGCTTCGTAGAGGAGGCGAGAATGTATCGATAATCAGATTCCTTTTCCTGTATCAGGTCTTCAATGACGATGCTTTTCAAGGCCAAACCCACTGATGTAGCATGAGGTTCCGACTTGTGGCAGTTTGCTGTGAACTCCTCAAAGGAGATAAAGACCAAGTCCTTCTCATTGGCGTCAATGGTGTGCTTCAATTGGAGTGAGAGTTGGGGAAGAGAGAAACTAACAGACAGTGTTTGCGGTAGGTCATTTCGAGGTTTGGACTTCAGAGATTGTTCGGACTTGGGAACAGCTTGTGATGACTGAGAGCTGGTTACAGAGTGTGGTGCATGGCCAGACAAAGAAGCTTTTCCTTCTCTCTTTCTCTTTCGAGGGGCAGCCTTGTAGAGACCATGCTTGAGGGTGACTCTGATCTGGTCGAAGACGTCTTTGGGGAGTGAGATAAGGAGAGGGTCACAGATCTCTCCGGTCACCACCACATCTGCTGAGAGCTCGTCGTTCACCCAAACTGGTGGTACTTGCCTTTTCTCCCCTCTGCTGTCTTCCTTGTCTTCTTCTCTGTTGCATCCAGTTTTCCATTTTTCTGACTTTATTTTGAGGTCTTCTTCGTCACTGTTGGCCTGGTTTTCAGTTCTTTCCTCTGGTTCCTCAGAACCTCTTATCCCATCTCCCTCTCCTCTCCCCACTCTCCTGTCGATCTTGACCATAGCACTAGTCTCGTCCAGAACTTTCCACCATTTCCCCTGACTGGTCATGCCTCCGCTGGCCACCAGCAGTTCCCGACTCTGAGCATCGTGCGTCGCATGAAGCGACATTCGATCAATCTTGATCGCCAGGGTCTCCCTCTCTGGTGGTAGAACACCGGCAATCGATGTTGACAGTGAATCTGTTAACCCTTCCCTACCAAAGCTGTTTTGCACCGATATCTCTCCGAGATAGGCCACAAGACACTTGTCCCCGTGAAGCGAACTGGGGAGAGTGATGACAGGAGATTGAACTAGGATTTCGAGGTAGAGATGATCGCAGGGGGTCGAATCTAGGGGGGCATCGACAGTCTCAATTTCAGGGGGGATCCCTGTGGGATGAAACGCAGATTGCATACCACGGGGACCAAGAGACGTGGAGAGTTGTTTGGCAAACTGGCTCTTCTCGTTCACAATTCCCTTGGCCACGCCCACTGTGGCGCTGCTAAACGACTCGATCACAGCTCGCGAGATTTCTTGAAACTCAGACACAAACATCTCCACCTCGCGAACCAGGTTCACAGAGTGAGTGTAGTGGATCGAGGGAACGGAGATTGAGAGATGGACGTCATTTGAACGACAGAGAGAGGAGATGGCTGACTGAGGGCTGATGTGGACCGAAAACCTGAGAAATTGTGGCATGGCTTCTTCAGAGCCAGTTCTCTTGATTCTCTCTCCCACGGCTTTCTGTTCAGGTTGATTCCCCATTGAGAGGATGTCCCTGTATTTCTTGCCAATCTCTGTGAGGTCAGTGACTTTGATTCCTTCAAGCTGTCCCTCCAGAACTGATGTATCCTCACTCCTCTTTGCCTCCACCGACAGCCTATGTTACGATTAAACTCATCTGCTCATTAGAGCCAGAGATAGGCTATCATGATAAGTACTTGATTACGTATAACACTCTAATATGCAACTGTTAGTGACATAATTGAGGTGTTTTCAATTTTTATACCTGTGGAATATTAGGCTGGCTATTAGGTGGGCGGAGCTGGCTCCTTGGCTAAACCCCTTTCTCACTGAACGACGGTTAATTCTCCTCAGTAGACGAACTCCGAGCCTTTCGAAAACCACACTTGCTTCCATATGGACTAGGGATTGAGCAGGCTGAAAGAGAATTTTTCAGAACAATTAAAACATACAGTAGAAGTAAAATATTTTTCCAAAAAATTCTCACGGTTCAACCATTGAACAGTAATTATTTTTTATTACTCTATCCACACACGGTATGTAAAAAATGAAAGCAAGTACGGTGAATAGACAAGTGTTGTGCTCACTTCCACAGGTTTAGTAGATATTGACATTTCTTCCTCTCTCTTCATAATCTCTTCCTCTGAACTTCCACCCTCACTTCTTCCTCTGTGCAGAAGACTAGGTGGGAGAGCTTTCTGACAGAACGAGATGATCTCTGTCTATCGTTTCCTGGTTGGCTGATCAGAGAGAAAAAACACACTTACTTTTGTGTACAATACAATAGGGGCTTAATATCAAATGAATACCAAACTGGACAATCACAATGCCTTCTATTCTTTGTGGAAGACACATGGATCCGACATTATGTGTATATAGCATCCCCATCAAATTCAACTCCAGTGCAGTGTACGGATATCTTGTGGATATCGGGCTCCTCTTCGCTAGGCCACACCCACTCCTACGCCTCCATTTCCTCGCTTCCTCTTCCTTCCCCAAGTCATATCCCTCGTGCAGATGGTCGGGAGAGAAAAGAGGTGAGATGGTGGTAGGAGACAGAGAGAGGGTTGGTGAATCACTGGCGGGAGAGATGATGCGAAATCCTCTTGCAGAGGAAACAAATTCGGAATATCCGAGTGGTGGCGCTCTAATGGAGTGACGTGGGTGTAGTGCTTGCTTTGGATACAGTGTTTCTGATGCTGGCACGTGGGTAGGAGTAGGATTTCCTGTCATTCCACTACTTGGGTCAAAGGATTGTTCTGGGAAGGAGAAGACGGTCTCAACAAGTTTTTCCCGCAGAGCAGAGAATTAGCTCAAATTCGGGACCAAAGTTTTGGACCTATCCAGGACACAGAGATCTTGGACCGAGAGTCGAGTCTAGTGTCGTACGGTCCCTTCTTGTGAAGGTCCAGCGTGACTCCCGGTATTGTTAGCTCTGTGATGAAGACTTGGTCTAGGGTGAGGAAACGAGACACAAAGATTTAGCGACATTCTGGACAGCATGAAGCTGTAGCTTTTACACAACACTTCAGCTCGGACCTTCTCTTTCATGTTACGTAACTAGACTCGCAAACCAGTGTAATGTTTTGCGACAAGTGACCTTCATGCCAGAGCAATACATGGCGAAAACAAAGTTGAGAGAGATAGAGAAATAAGGCGCACGTCAGAACATAGGGAAAAGACGCCAGTTTTAGAGTTGCGACACACAAGGGAATATACGAAAGGTCGGAGCGCGAAAAAGGAATTAGAAATAATTTAATAACTGGGATCTGACTCACCATGCTGGAGAGCGGACCAGAAACACTGTCTCGAGATTGAGAAACTTAACGACACTATTTTCCTCCATCTGCAGCCTGCCAGTCGTCGTTGTGTAACGCTCCTCCTAGCAACCTCTGCGGGCTCACATGGACTGTGCTGCTTGCAAGTGCAGTGCTTTGATTCAGACAACAGCCTGATTTCTGCATGATGGAAGACCCTCAGTATGATGAGAGTGTTAATTGAATCTTGCACGGAGGGATCTGATTGATGAAGGAGGCGCAGAAGAGCGGGCTGACTGGACATTGACTGCGTGGAGTGTGATGGGTGCGAGAGGGGGGTGCGGCTTAGGTGACAAGTGGGCGGAGTCAGTGTCGACCATGAGTAATAGCGCTGAGAATGACCGAGGTGAACTCTTATAATAGAAAGTGTATTGACACAGTAACTTGAACCTTTAAAAACAGGTTTAAGGTCACCTTTTGTTCGTCGACATGGAAACAGGAGAGGGACACTGGCCCAGAGACTAAAGTGGGTGTGGTCTGGACTGGGATTAAGACATCTATATAAGCAATGACAGAGTAATTAAATGATGACACACACCTGAAGAAAGTGCTGTTCTACAAAAGTTTTATCAACATACTCTTCACTTCTGTAGATGTATCTTCCCTGTGGCCTTTCCTTTACAGTGCAATTTTAAAGAGAATGTTGGCTTCAACTTAGAAATTTACTAAACTCAATGATTAGTACCCTTTTATAACTGCTATATTCTAGAACATGCTGTAGACATAATTATGATCCAGCAGTGGACTACTGTTGTGGTATATAGCAATATTGTGGGGCGGTCAGTAACCTCTGGAGTCTAATGGAGAGAGTGAACCTCTCCAGAAGATACTGCTGGGATCGGTGTTGCCGTGACGACCCAAACCGTGACCTGCATCTCTGACATCTTCAGCAGATATCTCTCAAACCTTCACAGAGAGAAGAGGGGCTCAGTCAGTGGTGTATAGAACAATTTTAGTCAGCGCTTTACTTGTTCAAAATATTACTATACGAACAGTTACAGTGACAGTAATCATGTGAACTAGGTAAAAATCGAATGCGACCATTGTCAGTATCACACAATAAGAGTCATTTTTGTCCACAGCCAGTCCAAGGGACCGTTAAACTGAGCAGGATCATTATGTCTTCCAAAGACTTAATAAACTTCCGCGTAGAAAATATCGACACACGAGTCATTTCCACGTTCACCAACATACACAACATTGTCCCGGGGTATCAATAGCAATACTGACTGGCTCCTTCAGTTCTCCCTCTCCTTCTCCTCTCTCCCCAACTGTCTTAAGTACACCCCGTCCATTGTGAAGACCTGGATTCCTGTGGTTTTTACGTGTCAGCAACATATACATTGCCTTCGTCACCCATGGCTATGTCATACGCCTCTTTAAACTCTCCATTGTTTGAGCCCTCCCGACCAAAACTGCTGCAGTACGAGAGATTTGAATTGAGAACTTGAATTCTGCAATTGTCACTATCCACGGCGTACACCTTGTGAGTGTTGGGATGAACAGCGACGCCCCTTGGAAACCGGAGATCTTGAGGCTCTTTTCCTTTCTTCCCGAAGGTTTTGAGATGTTTTCCAGTGGGTGACACCAGTACAATGCGATCGTTCCAATCATCTGACACAATAATGTTTCCTTTAGCCCCATCTATTGCTAGCCCTTTAGGAGATTTGAACTGACCAGGACCTGCGCCATAAGTACCAAATGATTTCTTCTCTCCGTTACAACTGATGATTGATATGCAGTCACCATCATGTTCTGCTACAACCACCTCCCCTCCCTCCCTGACAGCTACACCCCATGGCCCCTTGAGGTCTCCAATGATGTTGGCTGGGCAGTGGAGTGAGATATCAATTATCTCTCTCTCTCTCTCCTCACGTGTTATCTGTATGCTCGGTGTCTCTCACTCTTCCTACAGTGCCTCTGGACGCCCGGATATACCATTCCTGTAAGATACTCGGAATGGGGTCGCAGTGATGATCATGCTGTTGTAGCTGTCAGGGAGGGAGGGTGGCACGGGATGTAGATGCACTAGTATATATATCCTAGATGGTGACTGCATATCAATCATCCAGTTGTAACGGAGAAGAAGAAATCATTTGGATTACTTATGGCGCAGGTCCTGGTCAGTTCAAATTCCTAAAGGGCTAAGCAATAGATGGGGCTAAAGGGAAATTAATTGTGTCAGATGATTGGAACGATCGCATTGTACTGGTGTCACCCACTGGAAAACATCTCAAAACCTTCGGGAAGAAAGGAAAAGAGCCTCAAGATCTCCGGTTTCCAAGGGGCGTCGCTGTTCATCCCAACACTCACAAGGTGTACGCCGTGGATAGTGACAATTGCAGAATTCAAGTTCTCAATTCAAACCTCTCGTACTGCAGCAGTTTTGGTCGGGAGGGCTCAAACAATGGAGAGTTTAAAGAGGCGTATGACATAGCCATGGGTGACGAAGGCAATGTATATGTTGCTGAACGTAAAAACCACAGAATCCAGGTCTTCACAATGGACGGGGTGTACTTAAGACAGTTTGGGGGAGAGGGAGAAGGAGAGGGAGAACTGAAGGAGCCAGTCAGTATTGCTATTGATACCCGGGACAATGTTGTGTATGTTGGTGAACGTGGAAATGACCGTGTGTCGATATTTTCTACCGCTGGGAAGTTTATTAAGTCATTTGGAAGACAGGGAAATGATCCTGCTCAGTTTAACGGTCCATTTGGACTGGCTGTGGACAAAAAAGGAACTCTATATGTTTGTGATACTGACAATGGTCGCATTCAGATTTTTACCTAAGTTCACATGATTAACTGTCACTGTAAACTGTTCGTATATAATATTTTGAACAAAGTAAAGCGCTGACTAAAATTGTTCTATACACCACTGACTGAGCCCCTCTTCTCTCTCTGTGAAGGTTTGAGAGATATCTGCTGAAGATGTCAGAGATGCAGGTCCAGGTTTGGTCGTCACGGCAACACCGATCCCAGCAGTATCTTCTGGAGAGGTTCACTCTCTCCATTAGACTCCAGAGGTTACTGACCGCCCCCACAATATTGGCTATATACCAACAGTAGTCCACTGCTGGATCATAATTATGTCTACAGCATGTTCTAGAATATAGCAGTATAAAAGGGTACTAATCATTGAGCTTTAGTAAACATTTCTAAGTTGAAGCCAACATTCTCTTTAAAATTGCACTGTAAAAGGAAAGGCCACACAGGAAGATACATTACGAGAAGTGAAGAGTATGTTTGATAGAACTTTTTGTAGAACAGCACTTTTCTTCATGTGTGTGTCATCATTTAATTACTTCTGTCATTGCTATATAGATGTCTTAATCCAAGTCCAGACCACACCCACTTTAGTCTCTGGGCCAGTGTTCCCTCTCTCTGTTTCCATGTCGACGAACAAAAGGTGACCTTAAACCTGTTTTTAAAGGTTCAAGTTACTGTTTCAATACACTTTCTAATTTTACAGATTCAATCATTAATCATGTGTCTACACCCACTGACTCCACCCACTTCACCAAGCCGCACCCCCTCTCCTCACCCATACACTTCCACGCAGTCAATGTACAAGTCAGCCCTCTCTTCTGACTCCTTCATCCAATCAGATCCCCCCGTTGAAGATTCAATTTACCTCTCATTTTACGAGGGTCTTCCCCATCAGAAAATCAGCTTGTTGTCTGAATCAAAGCCCCACCCACTTTCAAAGCAGAAGTCATGTGACCCCAGGGTTGCTAGGGAGCGTTACCAACGACGACTGCAGGCTGCAATGGAGGAAATAGTGTCTGTTAATTTCTCAATCGACAGTGTGTTTCTGTCTCTCTCCAGCAATGGTGAGGTCAAATCCAGTTATAAATTATTTCTAATTCCTTTTTTCGCTCCGACCTTTCGTATTCCCCTTGTTTCGCTCTAAACTGGCGTCTTTTTCCCCTATGTTCTGACCGTCCGCCTTTTCCCTCTATCTCTCTCAACTTTTGTTTTCCCCCTGTATTGCTCTGGCCATTAGTCAACTTGCAAAACATTTACACTGTTTTGAGAGTCTAGTTAGTACATGAAAGAAAGGTAAGCTGAAGTGTGTGTAAAAAGCTAACAGCTTCATTCTGTCCAGAAGTCGCTAAATCTTTGTGTCTCGTTTCTCTCACCCTAGACCAAGTCATCACAGAGCTAACAATACCGGGAGTCACGCTGGACCTTCACAAGAGACCGTACGACACTAGACTCGAACTCTCGGTCCAAGATCTCTGTGTCCTGGATAGGTTCCAAAACTTTGGTCCCGAATTTGAGCTAATTCTCTGCTCTGGCGGGAAAAACTTGTTGAACCTGTCTTCTCCTTCCCAGAAACAATCCTTTGACCCAAGTAGTGGAATGACAGGAAAATCCTACTCCTACCCCACGTTTGCCAGCATCAGAAACACCGTATCCAATAGCAATGCCACTACACCCACCGTCACTCCAATTAGAGCCCACCACTCGGATATTCCGAATTTGTTTCCTCTGCAAGAGGATTTCGGCATCATCTCTCCCGCCAGTGATTCACCAACCCTTCTCTCTGTCTCCTACCACCATCTCACCTCTTTCTCTCCCGACCATCCTGCCACGAGGGATATCGACTTGGGGAAGGAAGAGGAAGGCGAGGAAATGGAGGCGGAGGAGTGGGTGTGGCCTAGCGAAGAGGAGCCCGATATCCACAAGATATCCGTACACTGCACTGGAGTTGATTTGATGGGTGAGCTATATACACATAATGTCGGGATCCATGTGTCTTCCACAAAGAATAGAAGGCATTGTGATTGTCCAGTTTTGGTAATTCATTTGATATTAAGCCCCTATTGTATTGTACACATAAAAGTAAGTGTGTTTTTTCTCTCTGATCAGCCAACCAGGAAACGATAGCAGAGATCATCTCGTTCTGTCAGAAAGCTCTCCCACCTAGTCTTCTGCACAGAGGAAGAAGTGAGGGTGGAAGTTCAGAGGAAGAAGAGATTATGAAGAGAGAGGAAGAAATGTCAATATCTACTAAACCTGTGGAAGTGAGCACAACACTTGTCTAATTCACGTACCTTGCTTTCATTTTTTACATACCGTGTGTGGATAGAGTATAAAAAATATTACTGTTCAATGGTTGAACCGTGAGAATTTTTTGGAAAAATATTTTACTTCTACTGTATGTTTTAATTGTTCTGAAAAATTCTCTTTCAGCCTGCTCAATCCCTAGTCCATATGGAAGCAAGTGTGGTTTTCGAAAGGCTCGGAGTTCGTCTACTGAGGAGAATTAACCGTCGTTCAGTGAGAAAGGGTTTTAGCCAAGGAGCCAGCTCCGCCCACCTACTAGCCAGCCTAATATTCCACAGGTATAAATATTGAAAACACCTCAATTATGTCACTAACAGTTGCATATTAGAGTGCTATACGTAATCAAGTACTTATCATGATAGCCTATCTCTGGCTCTAATGAGCAGATGAGTTTAATCGTAACATAGGCTGTCGGTGGCGGCAAGAGGAGTGAGGATGACATCAGTTCTGGAGGGACAGCTTGAAGGAATCAAAGTCACTGACCTCACAGAGATTGGCAAAAAATAAGGGGAGACATCCTCGTCAGGGGATCAACCTGAACAGAAAGCCGTGGGAGAGAGAATCAAGAGAGACTGGCTCTGAAGAAGCCATGCCACAATTTCTCAGGTTTTCGGTCCACATCAGCCCTCAGTCAGCCATCTCCTCTCTCTGTCGTTCAAAATGACGTCATGCTCTCAATCTCCAGTTCCCTGATCCACTACACTCAACTCTGTGAACCTGGTTCGCGAGGTGGAGATGTTTGTGTCTGAGTTTCAAGAAAGAAATCTCGCGAGCTGTGATCGAGTCGTTTAGCAGCGCAACAGTGGGCGTGGCCAAGGGAATTGTGAACGAGAAGAGCCAGTTTGCCAAACAACTCTCCACGCTCCTGGTCCCGTGGCATGCAATCTGCGTATCCCACAGGGATCCCCCTGAAATTGAGACTGTCGATTGCCCCCTAGATTCGACCCCTGCGATCATCTCTACCTCGAAAATCCTAGTTCAATCTCCTGTCATCACTCTCACGCCAGTTCGGCTTCACGGGGACAGAGTGTCTTGTGGCCTATCACGGAGAGATATCGGTGCAAAACAGCTTTGGTAGGGAAGGGTAACAGATTCACTGTCAACATCGATTGCCGGTGTTCTACCACCAGAGAGGGAGACCCTGGCGATCAAGATTGATCGATGTCGCTTCATGCGACGCACGATGCTCAGAGTCGAACTGCTGGTGGCCAGCGGAGGCAATGACCAGTCAGGGGAAATGGATGGACAGTTCTGGGACGAGACTAGTGCTATGGTCAATGATCTGACGAGGAGAGTGGGGAGGGAGGAGAGGAGATGGATAGGAGGTTCTGAGGAACCAGAGAAAGAACTGAAACCAGGCAACAGTGACGAAGAAGACCTCAAATTAAAGTAGCAGAAAATGGAAAAATCTGGATGCAACCAGAGAAGAATGGACAGGAAGACAGCAGAGGGGAGAAAAGATGGCAAGCTACAACCAGTTTGGGTGAGAACGACGAGCTACTCAGCAATGTGTGGTGACCGGAGAGATCTGGACCCTCTCCTTTTATCCACTTCACAAAGCAAGTGTCTTCGACCAGATCAGAGTAACTCAAGCATGGTCTTAAAGGCTGCCCTCGAAAGAGAAAGAAGGAAGGAAAAACTTCTTTG